ATGCAGTGGAAAAAGTCCTGGGTCTCTTCCTGTAAGATCCAGGTCCCATGAATGTGGCAATACTGAACAAACAACAAATTAATTTTGTTACTTAAATTTGGCAGTAACGTGTACTGATCTCAGGATAAAGAATGATTTTCCAGTTATTGGAGACTTAGTTATGCGCACAGGATTTCGCAATCACCAGGAAGCAAACATTGTAAGTCGCTACAAAGAAATACAGTAAGGCGTGGAATTTGAGTATCTTTTGACATGTAGAATTCCGCATTTTTGCAATGATTTCATAATCTTATTTTATTTTTATCATTTTATTTGTGCTGCAAAACTAACCAAAAGTGAAATTATGCTAGTAATGGCGAATTATGCCAAAAATGATGGTCCTAGCCAGGAACCCCGTCGTTATATCTGCTCAAGGCGCAATTCAAATTATGTAAAGATAATTGGTAAAAGTGCTTTCGGCGACCCAGGGACACAAGGCACAGGGTACAGAGGAGTTGGGTGTGAATAAATGAACTACTTATTTAAAGTCTCACCTTGAAAAATGTCTATACCTGTCGCTTAGCACGATTAATTAGCCCAAAGGGATCTTTATGAATCTACTGTAAACGATTTCTTCGCTTCTTATCTGACCCAGATCGACTTTGTTGTTCGCCATTTTGAAAATCAATAACCGCAAGCCATATCTTCGCTGGCGCACGGCACGTCGCCCAAAGGGCGACCGAGGCGCGAAGTGCCGAGTAAAAAATAAAGCCGATCTTGCGAGCCCTCAGTCGCTTAGTTTGCTGTCTATAGAATGTGTAACGAAACTGCAACGCGATGAAAATAACCCATTTTTCAGAGCTTTTCGACGGCCTTTGATGTTCTAACGAAAAACACATCTCCTCTGGCCCCTGTACCGGCAAGGGTACATTGATCGCCGCCACGGTGCCACCCGTCGCCCTGGGGACGAGGTTGAGCTTCTCACATAGCGCTAATTTATTACACCCATTTAAGTACACCCAGGATTTTAAGGTGTACGAGGGGACACGTGACCAACCGATGCCAGGGCCTTTTCCCACCCCACCCATTTTTTAAGGGAAAAGCCCTGGGGACGAGGTTGCCGTCAACCTCTCTCTTAGGATAGACTCGCCCCAGCTCTCTGTAAGTAAATTCTGGGAGCAAGGTNTCCTAGCCAGGAACCCCGTCGTTATATCTGCTCAAGGCGCAATTCAAATTATGTAAAGATAATTGGTAAAAGTGCTTTCGGCGACCCAGGGACACAAGGCACAGGGTACAGAGGAGTTGGGTGTGAATAAATGAACTACTTATTTAAAGTCTCACCTTGAAAAATGTCTATACCTGTCGCTTAGCACGATTAATTAGCCCAAAGGGATCTTTATGAATCTACTGTAAACGATTTCTTCGCTTCTTATCTGACCCAGATCGACTTTGTTGTTCGCCATTTTGAAAATCAATAACCGCAAGCCATATCTTCGCTGGCGCACGGCACGTCGCCCAAAGGGCGACCGAGGCGCGAAGTGCCGAGTAAAAAATAAAGCCGATCTTGCGAGCCCTCAGTCGCTTAGTTTGCTGTCTATAGAATGTGTAACGAAACTGCAACGCGATGAAAATAACCCATTTTTCAGAGCTTTTCGACGGCCTTTGATGTTCTAACGAAAAACACATCTCCTCTGGCCCCTGTACCGGCAAGGGTACATTGATCGCCGCCACGGTGCCACCCGTCGCCCTGGGGACGAGGTTGAGCTTCTCACATAGCGCTAATTTATTACACCCATTTAAGTACACCCAGGATTTTAAGGTGTACGAGGGGACACGTGACCAACCGATGCCAGGGCCTTTTCCCACCCCACCCATTTTTTAAGGGAAAAGCCCTGGGGACGAGGTTGCCGTCAACCTCTCTCTTAGGATAGACTCGCCCCAGCTCTCTGTAAGTAAATTCTGGGAGCAAGGTTGAATGGAAAGAAAACTACCTGGAAGAAACTTTCGAAAATTTGGATTTACCTCACGAGGTTGTCCTGTTTGTTTGGAAACTTCAGGAAATGCCCATCCATTCACTACCACGGAAAGTTGTCGGAAATTCAAACCGCGGAAGTTTTGGTTGCCGAAATGTAAAGTGCCTGAAATCTACGAAATCCATGTTGGTTCACAAAGGCACTGTCCTCAGCAAGGGTTTTTTTTGAGCGACGCACGCCAATCAGAAGTGGACTTTTTGCATTCATGAGCAAGTTCATTAAGAGAAAATACAGTTGCAGCACAAATGTGGTAGCGTCACATGACGGCACATTAAAATGGAAAGTCCTCACTTCCGTTTGACATGCGCCGTTCAAAAACGCATTTGCTTAAGCTCCCTATTGGGCCAATGGTGCGTTTCCCTTACTCCAAACAATACTAAAACAATAGAAAGAATGACATGTCATTGTTTCCTGCGACCAATTAGGAGAGACCTAACGAACAGCTCCTACACTACTGCCCTATTGGGCATGCAAAAAAAACAGGGCGTCAAAATGAAGGGCGTCGGCCATTTGTGCTTGATAAGAAAGCCATGGCTCATGATATTAAACTCATGGCTAAGATGTTGGGCTGGGTTGTATGAGGTGTGTAAATGAATCCAAAACCATCCCCCGCGAAAGGTATGCCGCAGTCTCGATCCTCGCTATCAAGGATAGGACTTAACCCATTTTAATGTCTTACGAAGTCCCAAGTATAAATCACTCACAAATGAAAAGAACTTTCCTGAAAATTTTCTCTTAACGGTTACTTAATCGTACTTCAAAGAAATTATGGCTGATTGTTGTGAGACTTTTCTGTCATTTTTTTTTTTTTCGTCATTATGTGGAAGAGAAATGTCGAACGGCTTAACATTAACAGACCTTATTAGCAGTGTTTGGGTAGCCTGCGTAGCAGGCGTTAAAAGAGGGGGGGGGGGAGAGGGTGAGTAAGAAAGAAAAGAAGGAGGGAGGAAAAAAAGGAGAGGGGATCCCTTCTTCTCTTTCTTACACTCCGCCCCCTCCCCCCTTTAGCGCCTGTCAGGCAGGCTAGTGTTTGGGGTATATTATGATCATGAAAAGTTCAAGATGTTCAACGCAAGGATCGTCAATTATATATATAGGGTCCACAAATTTGTATTTATGTCAACTTTAAATTCGCATTGGCTTGACGAAAAAGAAAAAGGAAAAGTCATGACATGTAACTTACTATCTATTGCTGTGACGGAATATTTTTCCACTCTGAAACGATCGAATTTAACTAATGATAACTCCGACGCTTGCGGGGAAGAGACGTCATTTCTCTGTAGGACTGGGATATGATCAAACCACTAACTGGTCAGTAGATTAAACAGGACTAAACATTGGTTCCAACAGCGTTTATTCTTCATCGGATCAAATGGCAATAATTAACTCAGGAACGACACAGCAAAAATAATCGAAAAACAGTAAAAACTAGCTTACTTATATTAAATATGATTTCTACAACCATTGAAGACAAAAGAAACTTTGAAAACTAAATGCAGACTCTATTTTTAACCTGAAGTCTTTTGTTAATACTGTTGCTATTTTAGAAAGTCTGAAGTACTGAAAATTTAAAGAACTAGCCAGGTCAGCAAAACAGCGTTTATGCCTTATTTTACAATATGAATGAAAATGCAAGTTCAGGGAGCGGCTGTTTCAACAGAAAGAAGCGCAGCCGGACTAATTGCAAGTTTTCACCTTAAACAAAAACCGATCTATTCAAAAAAAATTGCAAGCTAGACAGCAAAACCTTTCAAATTCAAAATTCACCTGTTGCCTCTTTTGACTAACAACTTAATGAAATATTTGTTCTCAAATAGACAGAATTTAAACAAGCGGCACCAGTACAAAAGGCCTATGAATAGACGTCGTCCAGTTGTAAAATCACGATAGATAGACTGAAGTTAAATAACCATTATCCAGAAACTAATTATCCTTTAAAAAGTCATCATTGAAGTAAAATGTTTATAATTGAAAAGAGAACGAGCAATTAGTTTTGTTTGTTAAGGAACACTGTTGGCTTTTCTTACAATTATTACTTAGCGGACACACAAAGCAAATTAAAGGACAATAAACTGGCACGAGCCTTTTTGCGGAGCTAAAACCTCTTTATGCAAATTCAGTATGAATTACTACAAACAACGTCAAAGATATGAAATTCGAGACAAATAAAGAATTCATGGAAAATCTCTCCTTCCATTGACCTTCGAGCTTCGACAATCTTTTTACATCTGGTTCTCTTAAGTTCTTCATGATTACAAAACTCAATTTGCTCAATATCTTCGACCCAATATAAAGACTAGCACAACCTTAAAACAAATAAAATATCTTGCCAATGCACACACTTTTGGAACTCTCCAAGTTCAAACGTCGATCTTTTCATGTATCAAACTTAATACCTATTTAGGTCGACCCAAATGATAAGTCATTCGACGGTTGATTCAGATGTCGAACTTAATTAGTCGGACTCAATTCATTTTCATGATGTTAATGGTCTAAAACGCTTACAAGTGAAAACAAATTTTAGTAATCTATGCATTAGATTCTGCATATGAGAAGTGCGACGTTTAAACTGGACCTAAGCAAATTTTTAACTACCATGACATGGTCTAGCTAATTTTCAATTTTCCCTTAAATGTGAACTTTTGTCGAAAAATTTCTAGTTAATTTGTGACCATCTTTATTACCAATAATCCAACTAAATCTCCTTATAATTTCTAAATGATTGTATATAACTCAACTTCCTCCTATTTTTAAAGTAATTTTGTTTGTATGTTGATTCTATTCCTTTTTCCTGTATCTTAGCAATCTGTTGTTGATTTGATTAAATCGGGTCGTTTCTCTTCTTTAAGTCTAGCATTCTCGTCTCCAGAGCCTCCTGGGGGCCTGAGCACGAGAACCAGGAGGCTCTGGGTGACACAGGATTTGAAGTCCTAGATTTTAGGACTTTCGGTCATTTCTGCTTTTCTACAACAGCGTCCTGGTTTTCGTGCTCAGGCCCCTAGGAGGCTCTGGGGACGAGAATGTAAGTCTACTTAAAATAACCTAGGAGGAGCCTGGACCCTACCTAAGCCCCAGGCTTCCAGTTCAGGCTTTCCCGCCACCATCTTTTTCTGTACATTTATCTAAAGTCTACAGCCTGTAATGTGACAAAAACAAATAAATCAAAAGAAGAAGCATCATTTTCTTTCTCTTCAAGATAAAGAGTTGCCATCCTTGCGAGGAACGCTCTACCGCGTAATTGTGATGAAAATTAAACTGTCTTCGACTTCAGATAATTAGGAACTGCTTCACTGCATTCTTCATCGTACCTATACAACAAAAACAGCAAGGAGAAACGTTAGCAAGCTGCAGAAGAATAGTGATTTCAGCCAGCGAAGTCAATCAGTTAATAATTTGGCGCTGACTTCGAAATCATTTCGAGCATAGAATACCATTAAAACCTGTAACTCACATCGAACGGGAAACCTTATTGCAGATTAACCGATATTTACAACCGAAAATGCTTAATAAAGCCTCCCCCCCCCACCTCTCCAAACCCTCCAATCTGTTCAGAGAAAGAAAGCGTGACAGCCGGCCCCCCTCTCTCTTTCAAGCCCCACCATTATTCTTAAACAATAGACATATATGATAGGTGCAACTGTAATTAGACTGAACGTTCAGACTGGTTCATTGTTTTTCTTCGGCCGTATGACCTCCAACTAGCTAGAAGCTTTTCCACTTTGTGTTCTAGTTCTTTATGGACACTACGATATTCGGTTAATTGAATTAGCCCCTCCCCTCTCACTCCCCCCCCCCCCCCCCCCCCCCCACCACCTTCCACTAAAAACACACCGCCTGTAATTTATAATAATTTTTTTTTTTTTTTTTTTTTTGATATTTTTTTTATTTTTTTATCACAATACAAATATATTCATATCAAACAACACAAAAAAAAACAATAATAACAACAACAACAACCCCACCACCANCCCTGGGGAAATTAATATAGGATTTACTTTCAGCTGCTGGTTAGAATATTGAATCTTATAAGCAACCACCCAATACTAAATGTTCCCACTCAGAACACCAAACATAGAAACTCTCCTAAGCCAACACCTTCCGTAAGCGACCGGAATTTTGGGTGGTCCCTTACGTTAGGTTCGACTGTAAGTTACAATCATTCGGAAAGAGCTCAAACAGGATCACCGTCACTTTTAAATGTAAAGAAATCACGAAATTTGAAATAAATTTTGTAATGTTTGACTGCCAAACAAAGTTTTCTTTCTTACTGTCAACTTGACCAGGGATAAGCAGATCGACGCTACACGTGGCATCGGTGGAGTTCGTTCCCCGATAAAGCAAAAAAAAATAATTGCTAGTTAAAATGACGATTGCAGATGCAAGGATTATGATCCCAGGATTAAATATATTCCAAAATACCTTGCTATTTAATTGATGCCTTCAAACTCGAGCGTTACGTCATCACCAATGAGAACAAAAGGCGCCCAGTACCTCACTGCGCTAAAGTCGTCAGATGCTCTCATGGATTTCATGGCTTTATTCAGGGCCTCACTGGCACTTCGTCCATGGACTAGTTCTTGGTAGAAAACTTTCATAAACTCCATAGTAGCTTTGTCGTCGATCGCCCACAGGGACACCAGAACAGCACGAGCACCAGCACCCAAAAACGCCCGCGATATGCCGACCACACCCTCAGATTTGACTTCTCCCCAAGCACTATGACAACAACTAAGTACAACAAGTCTTGCCCTAATCTGCGCATCTAAAACATCTTTCATAGTTAAGAGATAGTCCTCCCTACCTGGATTTACGGATGAACGCGTTGTGTTAGGGGCCAAGGCAATTTCTCCTGTTTCCATTTTACCGTGAGCAGCAATGTGCACCAAAGCAACCGACGAGATACGTCTTAAAACTTCATCTTTTGTTGCCTGCATTCCAACGAGAGGTACAGCTTGAAGTATCTCCCCAATCATCTGCACTTCCCTCTTGGCCCAAATTAACTGATCAAGCGGCTCTCCTTCATAAACCACCTCCTGTACCCACGGATCGCCGACAAGAAGAGCGCCAGTCTTGCTATGCCAATCTGCTGGACAATTTTGGATTAATTCCAGACTAGAAAGTGAGGGAAGCAGACGAATTCTAAACGTTTCGCAGAGGTACTTTGATTTTAAGTCCATGAAAGCAGAATAAGGCGCCAAACAAAGAGGTCCCTGTGGAACAATCACAACCTCATCGCCCTGGAGTAAGTCTCTTATAGGGTCTATGACAACGTTGTAAAATGTTTGCAATGAATTTGTCTCAAAATATGAAGGATGAGACTTTGGCTTACTTGATCTTTTTTCTGCTAACTTCTTATCGCTTGGGTTACTTAATGAGCGATCTTCACAATTAACATCAGCTTTTACACCTATTTCTTTATGTGTAGCCTCCAGTAGAGACTGAAAATAGGTTGTGACGGACATGTCAATCACAGTTCTTCTAGTTTTGATTTCCTTTCCTTTCTCGTTCACCCAGAGAACTATTCCTCCCTCGCTGATACCCATAAAAGCTGTATTTGGTGGTAAATAACTAGCAAAGTCACTTGGTCTTGCAGAAAGTGTTCCTATTTCTGGGCGTAGCCCTTTAAGGCCATACTTGGACTCCAGAAGATCATTTAAGGCTCCTGCACGTCCTTGATCAGCAGTTAAAAGTGCCTCAATGACTTTACCTTCCTTAAACTGCAGCTCCCACAGCCTCAAATGAATATTATCATACGTACTTTTAAGGGTAATCTTCCATTCGTCGTTAGATATGAGATTTCTCCTAATGTGGTCGAAGGCTGTAACACTGTTCTCATAACACTGAACGGCCTTCTGGAAATCTCCAAGACTGTGATAGGCGTTGCCAAGATTACCGTACGCTCTTCCTTCTCCTGCCCTGTCTCCCACTTCTTTCGAAATTTTGAGGTCTCGTTCATGGTACTCTATGGCTTTCTGGAAATCTCCAAGACTGTGATAGGCGTTGCCAAGATTACCGTACGCTCTTCCTTCTCCTGCCCTGTCTCCCACTTCTTTCGAAATTTTGAGGTGTCGTTCATGGTACTCTATGGCTTTCCGGAAATCTCCAAGACTGTGATAGGCGTTGCCAAGATTACCGTACGCTTTTCCTTCTCCTGCCCTGTCTCCCACTTCTTTCGAAATTTTGAGGTGTCGTTCATGGTACTCTATGGCTTTCCGGAAATCTCCAAGACTGTCATAGGCGTTGCCAAGATTACCGTACGCTATTCCTTCTCCAGCCCTGTCTCCCACTTCTTTCGAAATTTTGAGGTCTCGTTCATGGTACTCTATGGCTCTCTGGAAATCTCCAAGACTGTGATAGGCGTTGCCAAGATTACAGTAAGCTCTTCCTTCTCCTGCCCTGTCTCCCACTTCTTTCGAAATTTTGAGGTCTCGTTCATGGTACTCTATGGCTTTCTGGAAATCTCCAAGACTGTCATAGGTGATGCCAAGATTACCGTACGCTCTTCCTTCTCCTGCCCTGTCTCCCACTTCTTTCGAAATTTTGAGGCGTCGTTCATGGTACTCTATGGCTTTCTGGAAATCTCCAAGACTGTCATAGGCGTTGCCAAGATTACCGTACGCTTTTCCTTCTCCTGCTCTGTCTCCCACTTCTTTCGAAATTTTGAGGTGTCGTTCATGGTACTCTATGGCTTTCTGGAAATCTCCAAGACTGTGATAGGCGTTGCCAAGATTACCGCACGCGCCTCCTTCTCCTGCCCTGTCTCCCACTTCTTTCGAAATTTTGAGGCGTCGTTCATGGTACTCTATGGCTTTCTGGAAATCTCCAAGACTGTGACAGGCGTTGCCAAGATTACCGTACGCTCTTCCTTCTCCTGCCCTGTGTCCCACTTCTTCCGAAATTTTGAGGTGTCGTTCATGGTACTCTATGGCTTTCTGGAAATCTCCAAGACTGCGACAGGCGTTGCCAAGATCACCGTACGCTTTTCCTTCTCCTGCCCTGTCTCCCACTTCTTTCGAAATTTTGAGGTGTCGTTCATGGTACTCTATGGCTTTCTGGAAATATCCAAGACTGTCATAGGCGTTGCCAAGATTACAGTAAGCTCTTCCTTCTCCTGCCCTGTCTCCCATTTCTTTCGAAATTTTGAGGTCTCGTTCATGGTACTCTATGGCTTTCTGGAAATCTCCAAGACTGTCATAGGCGTTGCCAAGATTACAGTACGCTTTCCTTTCTCCAGCCCTGTCTCCCACTTCTCTCGAAATTTCGAGGTGTCGTTCATGGTACTCTATGGCTTTCCGGAAATCTCCCAGACTGTAATAGGCGATGCCTAGGGCGTGCTGGAAATCTTTAAAGTTGACAAAGGGGTCGCCAATATTACCATTAATACCTGTGGTTGTCATATTTTTTTTGGTGGCTTTGCTATTTCAGCTCAGCCTCATACTGTGGTTTCTTTTTTCTGCTGATACCATTTCTCTTTATGTGCGATAACGAAGAGGGTCTGAAAAGTAAAATTTAAAGCTGGAGTAAAAGCTTATTTATTAGCTCTTTTACTATTCGTTTTTGCCCATCATAGTCGCATTTGATTTGCCTCAAAAAGGGATCCTTGCACGTGTTTTTCATCGTTGTATAATCTGATTGGGGTCTTCTCTAAAAAGGAAAATGTTAACATTTGTTTGGTGATAATGATCGAAATTTACCATTGTTTAAACGTGGTGTATATATAGAGGATATTATTATATAGACACGAGTGTTTTACTGGAAAATATACCACTCGTGAAATTCATAAAAACTACATTCGGGACCCGAGTGGTTTATTTTCCATAAACTCACACGTGAGGTTATCGATGACGTAATCTTGGTAATTTCCCTCTACTACTTTATTGATGTCATTTTGTCTATATAATAAAAAGAACATTACACGGCGGCTTGAAGATATGAATTTTATTTTCGAGTGGCAAAAACAATATTTTACTCAGTCGCTGCGCTCGTTCGTAAAATATTGTTTTGCCACTCGAAAATAAAATTCATATCTTCGCGCCACCGTGTAATATCCTCTATTTATATGGCCGCAAGGAGATGCGAAACTTCCCTTCGAGTGTTGAAAAATATTTCACTCGTTCGCTGCGCTCACCAGTGAAATATTTTTTTCAACACGAGAGCAGAAATTTCGTATCTCCAAGCGACCATGTGATGTTCTATTTATTATATAAACACCAATGAAATACCAAACCATTTTACTTAAATAGTTTGTTCGTCTTAAAGGTGCGGTTTATTATGAAGCCATAGCAAAGGTGACATTTTCACATGTGAAGATAACAAGTTTTCGCGCGAAAGCTCACTTGGTATTTCATTGGCGTTTATATAATAAAAATTGTCTGTCTACTCTACTCATTGTACATTCATCTACCTTCCACTGAAAAAATAAATCTGTTGTCAACAAACTACAAACCGGACCAGCGGAAACATCAGTTCAGAAAACTCAAATTTGGGAAAGTGAACTTATTTCTAGGGGTTAACATCTCTGGGCAGCGGAACACAAGTGTTTAGCATTTGAAAAGAAAATCTATTTCTTTACCCCCAAAACACTGAGAAAGTTACTGGTATTTTAAGCTTGTGGGTTTTCAAAAAACTATAATAGTTCCACAGCTGTTTCCAGATTAAGTCCAACTCGGTGTAAAAACCTGAGGAGTTTTTCTTTTCCTCTCCTATTTTCTTATAAGTAGATCTATGAGTAGGATGAGCATGATCGTCCAAGGGCTGACGTAGTACTAAATAGGACTGTTGCATTGACATTGACTGACACGCGGTAATCATCTGCAGAGTCAAAGTGAGTTGTATTAAGTCAGTTGATGGTACAGTCGAACCTCCATGTGGGACCACTTCTCGTAAGCGAACACTTCCCATAAGAGACCGACTATCCAAAACTCATGCACTAAAACGTTCCCTGTTACAGCCTTACAGTTAGAACCCCTAGTAAGTGACCATCTCCCGTAAGCCACCGCGACCATTTTTTGGGCCTGAAAGTTTAATGATTATCCATTGTTTCTAAGCTCTAGTAAGCGACCAAACTCGACCACTTGACGAATTCTCTGATCCCTAGTTCGCTGTGTGCACTATGCACAGTGAAAAAGTCGGATATGTCAGTCAAATTGTCGGTTGTCCGGTCACTCTCTCGTAATTAGTTTTGCTTGAGTCCGTCGATAAAGTCGTTTGTACCGGCAACTGTTGACTACGATTCAATGACGGTTGCTCTCAGTTAGTAAACCAGATTTCTAAAGTGGGTCGTTGATAGTAGTCTGAGAATACGTAATACATGTCACAGAGTCCCAGTCGATTTGATGTTTCGTCTGTAAATGGTGACCAGCAATGTGATTGTTGACGTCACCATTTCTCGTTGCTCGTTTACGTTCGGTCAGTCGCGTGCTAAGGTTTCTGCCGGTTTCACCAATGTAAGTAGCCTGGCAGTCGCTGCATTTGATCTTTAATACTGCTTCCTGTCTGTCTTCCGGTTTGTCTTTGTCCTTGACATTAGTGTGCAACAGGAGCAAATGGGTAGCCTGCAAACAGCAGGTGAGACGTATTTCCGGGAGAGAAGCGACGGCTAGGAAATCTCGTCACTCGTTTCCATCCGCTAAACTGACATTTTCCTCTCAGTGGCTCTCACAAGACATTTCACTTTTCTTACATGAAATTTCTGTCTCTTGAAATTTCTGTTCATAAAAGTCTAAGTCTCTTCAATTTTTAAGGGAAAAAGAAATTCAAGATGGCACGAGTAGGATTTGATCTCGGAGCATCGGCTCTGCAGTGCATTACTTTAACCCCTACACCACCGACGATTTGCTTACAATAAATGGTTTGATTTGAAAATATAGAGCAACAACCCCAACCCTAACCCTAACCCTTACTTTGTGTAAGAATCATTAATCTGTCAACGTCAGCTTGGCGGATGGAAATAAGTGTTGACCGCACTAATTTCTTTTAAGTGATAAAATTTACGTCATTATCTCTATAGCAACGAATTATTAATCTGGCGCATACTCAACGGAAATTCCAAGCGGCTTGCTGCAGAGGTTTCTCAAGGGGCGTAAACAAACTAACCACGCAACAGACAAGCCACGCAAATGACTTCGTAAACGTTAAAAGCCATGCAAGAGAGAAATCTATGCTCGCAGGGTAGTAACAGTAAGGTGAAAACATAATCACTGAAATGGAAAATCAGATCACATGTAGCAATGTCACTATGCAGTTCATGAGAATTATTAAAGTGGTCATGACTTACGATTATTGAATATGCGGGCCTTCATTATCAAGCACTGAATCCATGTAAAAAGTACAAATTTTTTAGCACTTATGCAAGTGTTTAAAGAAACAAAATACTCATGCAAGAGTGAATTTGTATGAAATGTCCACAAACAAGGTGATCCGTTTCTCCATTGGTCTCCATTCTAAACATGCATGAGCAGGGCGGATAAAGGTTGTGCATGAGCGTGTTGAGACAGTGAATGACAGCGCCATAGATTTTGAAATTCCCAGACTGAAAGTCAATGTACACTTTCCCTGTAATACATGAATTTATAGTGAATGTAAAGAGCAGAATGGATCGATCTTACTGGAAACCCTATAATAATTATCTACTTGCATGTCGTTTAATTTCTTAAAACAATCTTCTTTTGCCAATGGAACAGTTAAATTTCCCCTGACTCATACTGAAATTCCCTGACTTGTTATAACATACACGGCAGAAGCAAAGATTACAAATCATTTGATACGCTAGCGAAGCGTAATGAACCAGTTTAATATTGAAGTCGATTGGAAATTCACTGATCCACTCACTCCATAGCTCGCGTGCTCTAAACCTTACTGTGGACAGGTTTCAGACAAATAATACGCTGATTTATTCTCACGGACTTTCATACAATTGTAGTCCGCGAGCAGTCACTCTTTTTCTTCAGATTTCGGGAGGGGAGTGCACGCGCGCGCGCGTGAGCGGCGAAGCCGCGAAACGGGAAAAACGAGGGCAGCAGCCCGAGATCTCCAGTCTCGCACCTTCAGTCACGAGCTTGGTCATTTGAGTGTCTCGCGCGTTTTGCTCGACGGACTAAGAAAAAAGAGAGACTGTTCGTAGTCTAATACAATTGAACCAAATTTTAAGCTTAAAACAGTAAACTGATCCTTACGGCAGGAAGAGTGATAGAAAAAATACAGAAAGAAAACAAAAATAAAGTGGTGAATTATATTGTAATACAATTGTAGCTTGATACACACACTTTTTTTCATCCACGTGTCGTGTTGAGTTACATGCACAGTTATTTGACTCTGTTAATAGCAAATATAAAAAATCGAAAGAAACTGCGACTGATTCAAACTATTTAAAATGTTATACTCACTCGCAGCTCTTCACTTTCCACTGGAAACTACTAGTTGTTCTTGGAAGCAGGAAACAAAAGAGCGGAAAGTCTAAGGGGGTAACAATTTAGGCAGATGGGAAGTTCGACCAACCGAAACGACCAGACCGGTCAAAGTGGACCACCTTCAAAGCTGGTCCCGAATATTCCGGTCGGACCAAACCGAAATGGTCCGTTCCATTTCATGTACCAACCGAAATTTCCGGAATTTTGGGAATTGAATGGAAAGTGCCCGAAAATCTTCAACCAACTGATCAGTTTCCTGGAAAATAATACCCTATTGCTGGTTTTCAGTGTCACGCCATTTAAAATAGATCAAAATAAAAATCAAAACTATTCGACAGATAAAGTCTAGAATCTGGGAAATGAAAGGAGGTAAATATACGAAGACCCTCGCCAAGATTTGGGTCGAAGAAATAATTCGTATACGAGATATCCGAGGAAATGTTTAACCCAAATTTATAGAGCTTTGTATGGAGACGCCATGCTGGAGCTCATCCGGGTGAGCTCCAACATGGCGGACGGAAACCAACAGAAACATCTGTTACCGAGTTTTGCTACAAAAGCGTGAATTTACTCCTAGAGGAACTCATAAACATTAAAGTAATACTTTTTCTAACACTTGAAGTGTTTAGATAACAAAATTCCTTGAAAAAAGTCACTTTTTTAACCTAAATGACAGCTCTCTCGGCCGTTATGTAAATGCTGCGTCACGCAAAAGCTTAGAAATTCAAGCGTACTCTATTACAAAACCAAGAACCCTTTTGAAGCGAAAATTTGTTTGAAAACTAGTTTTCAGCTGCTCTAATACACCATGAAAGTAAAATCTCAGTAGGATAGATAGTATTGTAGTTTGAATTTTAGTGACGTCATGTGAAAACCAACTATTAGACCCAAACTCTCTTACCGTAAATCCCCTATTAAGCCCCCCGGGGGGGATTATTTAATTCACGCCCATTTGAGGGGGGGAGCTTAATAGAGACGGGGGGGGGCTT